GATATATTGGCCGATACATCTAAATCCAAATTTTTATGTAATTTTGAGGGCCTGATTATAAAAACAAAAGTCTCACCATTAAAACCCATGTCCCAAACACACAATTATAATGTTCTCATGATAATTTTATGTAGTTGCAATTTACTGTATTTTTCATATACAACCCGAATTCCGGAAAAGTTCGGACGTTTTTTAAATTTGAATAAAATGAAAACTATAAGACTTTCAAATCACATGAGCCAATATTTTATTCACAGTAGAACATAGATAACATAACAAATGTTTAAACTGAGAAATTTTACACTTTTATCCACTAAATGAGCTCATTTCAAATGTGATGCCTGCTACAGGTCTCAAAATAGTTGGGACGGGGGCACGTTTACCATGGTGTAACATCTCCTCTTCTTTTCAAAACAGTTTGAAGACGTCTGGGGCTCTGGGCATCGAGTTCATGAGTGTCTGGAGTTTTGGTGTTGGAATTTGGTCCCATTCTTGCCTTATTTAGGTTTCCAGCTGCTGAAGTGTTCGTGGTCGTCTTTGACGCATTTTTCGTTTAATGATGCGCCAAATGTTCTCTATAGGTGAAAGATCTGGCCAATTCAACACCCGGACTCTTCTACGATGTAGCCATGCAGTTGTAATAGCTGCAGTATGTGGTTTTGCATTGTCCTGCTGAAATACACAAGGCCTTCCCTGAAATAGACGTCGTCTGGAGGGGAGCAAATGTTGCTCTAAAACCTTTATATAGCTTTCAGCATTCATAGTGCCTTCCAAAACATGCAAGCTGCATATGCACTTATGCACCCCCATACCATCAGAGATGCTGGCTTTTGAACTGAACGCTGATAACACGATGGAAGGTCTCCCTCTTCTTTTGCCCGGAGGACACGGCGTCCGTGATTTCCAACAAGAATGTCAAATTTGGACTCGTCGGACCATAGAATACTTTTCCACTTTGAAATAGTCCATTTTAAATGAGCCTTGGCCCACAGGACATGACAGCGCTTCTGGACCATGTTCACATATGGCTTCCTCTTTGCATGATAGAGCTTTAGTTGGCATCTGGAGATGGCACGGCGGATTGTGTTTACCGACAGTGGTTTCTGGAAGTATTCCTGGGCCCATTTAGTAATGTCATTCACACAATCATGCCGATGAGTGATGCAGTGTCGTCTGAGGGCCCGAAGACCACGGGCATCCAATAAAGGTCTTCGGCCTTGTCCCTTACGCACAGAGATTTCTCCAGTTTCTCTGAATCTTTTGATGATGTTGTGCACTGTAGATGATGAGATTTGCAAAGCCTTTGCAACTTGACGTTGAGGAACATTGTTTTTAAAGTGTTCCACAATCTTTTTACGCACTCTTTCACAGATTGGAGAGCCTCTGCCCATCTTTACTTCTGAAAGACTCTACCTCTCTAAGACATCCCTTTATAGCTAATCATGTTACAGACCTGATATAAATGAACTTAATTAGTTGCTAGATGTTCTCCCACCTGAATCCTTTCTAAATTTCTTGCTTTTTCAACCATTTGTTGCCCCCGTCCCAACTATTTTGAGACCTGTAGCAGGCATCAAATTTGTGAAAAAAAAAATGTGTTGGGGGCGCAGGCGCCCTCTAGTGTCGCCCCTACTTCCCATTAATCATAGAATTAGAATGACAAGCAAAATAAAACATGATCATCCTAAGGCGCCCCTCAGCCACACGTTTAATTACTTGTCAACTTGATTATTAGATTGAATTGATGATTATTGTCGATCATTTCCTAATGGGGGGAGTTGCGTTACGTTAGGTTAGGTTAGGCAAGGCAATGCTGGCGCGTTGATCGAAAATGAATCGGTCTAAACCCTCGTGCACAGGGAAGAAAAGGAGAAAGGAACAAGATAATAAGAAAGCCCAGTATAGCGGTAAGTCTTCTCATCTCAGCCATTAAGGTGTCAAACGAAATAAATGTACTAAGTATTGTGCGAAGGCATGTACTGGCCATCGGGACTACCAGGAGATTCCCGGTGGGCCGACGTGCTTTTTGGGCCGATACATCTCGAATACTTTTATATATTTATTTATTTATTTATTGTCTGAACGGCCCATAAAACTCGTACATCGGCGGCCCATTCGTTTTGTTTTGTTTAATTGGTGGCACTGGGTTATAACTTGCTTTCAAGTATAGAAATGTGTACAAAACTTATTAGGCTATGAAAGTTTCCTTTATTTTTATTATTGCATTTGTTTTACAATATATGGCTATTACTGTCATGGGATTAATATTATAACTATTATTATGCACTGCAGTAGTGTAATGTAGACAGACACTGTAACAAAATAATAATAATAACCTTTATTTTATAAAGCGCCTTTAAAAGCAGCTTCTCAAAGCGCTGTATAGGCCTAAACAATGGGCAATTGTTTAAAAAAAAAACACATTAACAAGTGAATGCAAGTTTAAAAAAGTATGTCTTAAGTTGATCTTTAAAAATTGCATAAGACTGGGCTTCCCTAAGTTCAAGAGGCAGAGAAGTCCAAAGGACCGGTGTTAAATCCATCAATCTGGTGCACTTTGAGAGTTCAAAATTAAAAGCTCCAACCCATATTCAGTGTGCAAATTTAACAGAGAGAAAATTAAAATGCTCAATTTTCTTAAACCCCCTTAGCCTTGTAGCAGCCCATTAGATTAGTAATAATGGTGGTAGAAATTGTAATTTATCTACATGTTATCTACTACATAAAATTCATTTCAAATCATAAGGTTGCCCTACAAATAAAGCTGATCCGTCTTGACTGGATGAGCTGTCAATATTCCTTCATGATTTATTTTCAGACATCATGAGAATAACGTTATATTTGGTATTTTAACGTGGCATGTTATAACAAGAATATCTATGGCAAGAGCTCTTTTCAGTCGCTGCTTTCTTTTCCTCGTGATGATTTTTATTTTTTCATTTGCAGTCCGCTGTAAAAGTCTGAAAAGCCATAGAGCGAGCCTTTCACTGATTGTTTACAGCTTAACGGAAGTTACACCCATAATTCGGGCAAAGCGTCATGGGGCGCAGGAATAAGGTGGATGGAAGTGGAACTATGAATCTATAGAACTATGAATTAAGCACACAAATCACATGCACCACAGCTTTTGGTTAGGCATGTTCTGTGCATCTGCAGTAAACATTAGTGCGAGATCAACTAGCAACCGCAGCATTTCAAAAAAAGGAAAGAAATTGTGACACCTTAAAAGTTCACTGTGTTTAGAACGGCATCAGTGGTGAGAGTCAGACGTTTAGTCACGTCCTGTGTGTTCATCTGTAATTTACACCATGACCAAGAGGCTGGAATGTTTGAGTCTTTATTTAAAGACCTTTCACAGAAGCCACAGTGTGTGAAATGGTGAATCCACCAGCATTGATCATCATCATCATAACATGTAAAGACATTCTTTCCAGGAAGAGTTGCGCAACAATGCTCGTGTACAGTCACTCTGCTTTAGTGGCTTGTCCAGTTATCTGAAACATTTAAAATGTGGAAGTTCAGTGCAATATAAATATATATCTGTAAGTATACAAGAGAGAAAAATAAACATTTGTGCCAAATTTATAAGTAAAAAAAAGTTATTCACAGTGGTTATTAGTCCGCTCATATCTTTCACTCAAAATAAATATGACTTTCAGTCGCATTCCTCCATACAAACACAGTCAAGACATTACAGTGTGAACTACTGTATGTTTGAGCTTATGGAGGCGTCAACATTATACACTGAACACCTGATTCTAAACAATGATTTTTGTGAAACAACACTGAATAAAATTTAACAAGTATTTAAACACTTAATGTCACTTACAATCAAAACATCTAATCGATTGATGAATAAGACATGTGACAATTGTGTCACAATCTTCAACACTCCTTTACAAAAATCGAAAGTTTAATTGATATTTCATAATGTAATGACGTTTAGATCTTGAGAAATAATAAACACTTTAAGCTGCGGTTGATTTTTGAAAGATCCTCCTGATCCAATCAAATCCTCTTTCTAGTTTTATCTATATTTAACTATCTTAAATGATAAATTGTTAGTCTTAACATTATAAATAACAACGCTACACATGGAGTCAAACGTTCATGTGTGTTGATAAACTGAAATAACAACTGGAATTCTGGGAATGATGTGATCGAAACATGCAACAAATGAAAAAACTCTTATATTTGAGCTTCTTTGTCTAGTTCTGCAAAGCTCAGTTACATTTTGTGTCCGAATGTTTGACTGGTAGATCACATGACTGAAACACTGCTGATCATGACAACAACAACAACAACAACAATATACAATAATCTCTCCACATCCTGGAAAAATGACGTGGAATCATCAGATCCGAACTGATCCTCTCCCACATTAACATCGCGTGTTCTCATACTCCTATGACTGATGATTAACTTGACTCTTATGATATTGCACATTTCATATACTGTAAATAATATGTTGGAGTATTTCCCCTATCTATTACAAAATTCCAGGTCACATTATGAGTGATTCATCAGTGCAAATTGTTGTAAATAACAAAATATTTATAATCTTTCATCAAAATAGAAAAAGCTCTGGCTTTGAAAAAAAAAAAATATATATATACAGGTGAAACTCGAAAAATTTGCATATGGTGCAAAAGTTCATTTATTTCAGTAATTCAACTTAAAAGGTGAAACTAATATATTATATAGACTCATTACATGCAAAGTGAGATATTTCAAGCCTATATTTGTTATAATTTTGATGGCTTACAGTTTATGAAAAGCCCAATTATTAGAATATTGTGAAAAGGTTTTCATAAGCTGTAAGCCATAATCATCAAAATTATAACAAATAAAGGCTTGAAATATCTCACTTTGCATGTAATGAGTCTATATAATATATTAGTTTCACCTTTTAAGTTGAATTACTGAAATAAATTAACTTTTGCACCATATTCTAATTTTTTGAGTTTCACCTGTGTATATATATATATATATATTATTAACCAGTGTATTGATAATTTTTCAGCTAAACAATGGCACTTGTCTTTCTAGTTCTGAGTTCTTGCATCACTGATCATCATTGTGTTCCTGTTTATCAGCTTTGAAACTATCTCCATTGTATAAAGCGCTTTAGAAATAAAGGTGACCCGATTTGACAGGAACTTCAGGGTCAGATAACACTTTCAAAAGTCTAAAACAGGAAGTGACATCACCGCGAGCAGAAGTAACCCTACAGGAGTGAGCCGGCGAGCGTTGGACCGGCTCAAGCCAAGCTCGTATCGAGCGACGGTCCTGTTATAGACGTCCTCTGAAGACACGCATGTGTACGACCCCTCGTGAGACGCGTCCATGCTGTCGATGAGGTACAAACAGCCCTGATCCGAACGCACACACTCCTCACGCGTGTTCCCGCGGTGCCAGTGGTACGAGGCGTGATGTGATGTCATCGGGCAGACCAGGAAGTGTCTGGAGGACGCCGGGACACGAACCACTGGCGTCTCGGCACTGAACTGGGTCTTAGATGGTTCGGCTAAAGGCATCTCTGTGGGACAGACGGTCATGTGATTTTACTTTTCGTTGAGTTGACATTTAAATGGATATTTCTGAAAACATTTCACTCTTTTACAAAACCTATCTAGATAGCAATCCCAGAATACACCACAGGTTCAGAGATAATATTCATCATTCTGAGATGATGAATGAAGCTTGTTGATAATTTAATACCATAAGCAGAAATAGTTTAACTAAATGTTTTATTTGACTCATTATTGTGGTGTTAGTGTGTCAGACTCGAATTTAGGGTTTCCCAAATTTATTTTTTGATTAATCGTTTTATAAAATGTGGTCGATTCCATATCGATTTTCAAAAGCCACGAATTAATTTTTCCGTGTACATTCAGCGCATGTGTATCAGTATATTAGATCTGTGCATTAGTCTAATATTCCTCCTCCTGCTGTCTCTATTATTAATCAAACTACAAAAGACAAAGAAGATTGTGTAACTTTAACAAGGATTAAACCTTTATTTAATTTGTACAGTAATTATATACAGTGTTATTTTACATTTGATTACTTTATTCAGATTCTGTACCTGAAAACTACTGTTAGACCTCCCTGGAAAAACCTTTAAAGGGTTAGTTCACCCAAAAGATGTAAACTCTGTCAGTAATTACTCTCCCTCATGTTGTTCAACCCCGTAAGACTTTCGTTCATCTTCAGAACACAAATTAAGATATTTGTGATTAAATCCGAGAGCTGGATCACTCCTCCATAGGCTTCTAAGGGATCGAAACTGGCCGGCCCAGAAAAGTTATTAAAGACATTGTTAAAATAGTCCGAGTGACGACAGCGGCTCAACCTTAAGTTTATCAAGCGACGAGAATACTTTCTGTGCGCGAAAAACAAACAAAAATAACGACTTTATTCAACTCTTCATGTTCTTCTCTGTGGGCCTCGAGTGAGTTCTCGTAGTGTAACAGCGCAGCGCTTCTGGGTTGTACATCTCACACACACACACACACACACACGACCAGCGTCGGCCAATAGTGAGCCTGCATGTGACGTACACCAGAAGCGCTGCGCTGTTACACTACGGGAAGACAGAGAAGGAAATGAAGAGTTGAATAAAGTCGTTATTTTTGTTTGTTTTTTGCGCTTAGAAAGTATTCTCGTCGCTTGATAAACTTAAGGTTGAGCCGCTGTAGTCACTCGGACTATTTTAACTAGGGATGTCCCGATCCGATCACGTGGTTTCAGACTCGATCGGAATCGGACGTTACCTCCCGATCAGGACTCGGATATATGTAAATTAGGGGTGTAACGGTACATGTATTCGTAATTATTGAACCGTTTCGGTACGAGGCTTCCGGGTCGGTACGCATACAAACCGAACGATGCCAGGACCATTTTTCCTGCCGACAAAATCCGCGCTGGCGCGATCACCACAACGTTGCGCAACATCAAATGGCAAACGTAAGGAAAGCGGAACGAAACTGCGTTACTCATTATATTGTGCTTAACGGACCATTTATCAGTTCGGACCAGCGACATCTGTGCAGCGCGAGATCAAGCGACACTGTGCTAAGAGATCCAGTGAAGAAAACATTTGAAGTAATAACATCGCTGCGAGATCTAGTGAGAAGCATTCACATTTCTCCGTTATTAACCGTAGATCTCTATTAGATCAAACAGCGCTGACGTGGACACCAGGAGAAACATTGTGCCGTGAATGAACATGGATTTAATGTTGCAACTTGCACTTAAAAATTCAAATATTATATAAATATATATTTAAATGTTATTTTTAATGTGATTACCAAAACATTTGTTCATCCTTCAAAGATTACCCCCATTTATAAACCTGAAACTTTCAAGATGTAGGAAAACTCAAACTTATTTAAAAATAGTTTTTCTTTTAATAAATAGGAAATTTCTCTGGCATTTCTTACTATTAGCTGTATCGAATCGAACCGCAAATTTTGTGAACTGTTACACCCCTAATGTATATATGTATATTCTAGACTTTTTATTTTTTGTTTACATGCCTGCTGGGTATTTTAAGTTGAGGTGCTATTTGTTTTTATATTAGACTTTTTCTATATTGACTGTTGCACTAAAGTCCAAAAGTGAAGATTTTATGTTATTTATTACTTGATTGTTCAAGCTACCTCACAGAAGTGCTCTGTTTGTTAACAGAGTTGTTGAATGTTAAAATAAGGTGAATTAAATAAAAAATAAGGAATATCCTGGATTTGTTTTTTCGCTCTTCTTTATTCTTTTTTTATGTATTATATAAGTATCGGATCGGGACTCGGTATCGGTAGATACTCAAAATCAAATGACTCGGACTCGAGGGCAGAAAAACCTGATCGGGACATCCTTAATTTTAACGATGTCTTTAATAACTTTTCTGGGCCGGCCAGTTTCGATCCCTTAGAAGCCTATGGAGGAGTGATCCAGCTCTCAGATTTAATCACAAATATCTTAATTTGTGTCCCGAAGATGAACGAAAGTCTTACGGGGTTGAACAACACGAGGGAGAGTCATTACTGACAGAGTTTACATTTTGGGTGAACTATCCCTTTAAAGCAATGATTATTTCAGTTGCATCTTTATTCTTTTGTTTTTATGTATTTGTGCTATTGCTTGCTTGTAGTTTCATTATTTGTTCTTTTTTTATGAATGACTGTTTATTTGTTATTTAATAATCTTTGAATTTGATATTAGTAGTTTTAGCTGTAGTATTGAAATTGGAATCGAGAATTGTTCAATTTCGCTGGTATCTAAAATTGTGGGTGTCATAACCTTTTTACAATATAAGGATACATTATTTTATTCATTCATAAAAATTTTTGTGGTGGGAGCCAGTGAAAAATGAATGAATTGAGATCTTGTGAATCGGAACATCTGAATCGATACCCAGCCCTCATGATTAGCATAAAACATTGGATTAGCCGTGATGTAGACCACGAACCCTAGACTGCATGTGGAAGGTGCGTTGAGTTAATTTGAAATTCGTTTAAAGGTGAAAGCGACTCATAATCAGCACCGCAAATGTCATTCGGTAAAAAAAAACCCAGAGCCAGACTTACTGCAATCGTGCGGGTCTTTAACTCGGCCTCTGTGGAAAACAAAACACATCACTGACACTTCTCATACAACTTTTATATGCAGATTTGAATGATGCATTGTGGGTTTCAGTTGTGTGTGTGTGTGGGTGGGGGGAGTTGAGTTGAGTTGGTTGGTAGGAAATACGGAAATGAGTGTAAATGATAAAAAAAAATATTTATTAAAATATTATGTGGTTGCGTTGCCAGAGTAGGTAACGCGATGCAAAGAGGTTGAGAGTTTTTTCAGTGGTTATAATGTGGTTTCTGAATGATTCAGCATCACTTGATCTGCACACTGCAAGTAAAGAGAAGCAAGTCTGGCATCATTATTACAAGTGCTCACAATGATTTGAACAAACCTCAAACACTAAGTATGAAACTTGAGTGTGTAACTCGTTCTGCAGATCAGAGAGACTCAAACCACCGCACAACCAGCCAGAACGCTGCAACATTTCTCTCAATATTTTAACAGACTACTATGAGCTTTATTAACAGGGGCTTTAAGTTTGCGGCTCATGCTAAAAATACATTTTTTATCAGGAAGGAAGCAGGCTAGTGTGTGTGTGTAAGAGTGAGTGAGTGAGTGAGTGAGTGAGTGAGTGAGTGAGTGAGTGAGTGAGTGAGTGAGTGAGTGAGTGAGTGAGTGAGTGAGTGAGTGAGTGAGTGAGTGAGTGAGTGAGTGAGTGAGTGAGTGGCTTACTTTTCAGTGGATGTGCATTGCAAACCGTTCCAACCACAGTAGGGGTCTCGAGATAACAAGCAGTCGGTACACTCATCTCCGTACACACTGCATGCTAGCAGGTCAATCTGCACAACCTCATTACTGGAACTCACGAACAGACGCTTCTGAGAAATTAAACACCGGATACATTAGTAACGCTAATCATACATTTATGAGATTAAAAAGAATGAAGATCGGTCATAGATTATAAAGAACTAAATTAAGAAACTAACAACTGACCGTTCTTCAGGTGTCTACTAGAGATGCAACAATATGAACATTTGGGCCGATAATTCTTTATATTTGAAAGCCGATAACCGATATATTGGCCGATAAATCTAAATCCAAATTTTATATAATTTTTAAGAGCCTGATTACAAAAACACAAGTCTCACCATTAACAGCCATGTCCCAAACACACAATTATAATGTTCTCATGATCATTTTATGTAGGTTATATGGCAGACTTTTTTTTCCATATTTTCCTCTTTTTTTTAAAGTGATTCCAATCATATTTCAAGCAGTTTAAAAACATCATGCTGAACAGTGCGCATCTGAAGTGTCTCAGCTGAAGCAAATAATACATTATTCATCAGCTTTGATATATAAGCCAAATTATCTTATCAGACCGATAACATTAAAAATTAACATGTCGTCCGATACCGATATGGTGGCCGATATACCGTGCATCCCTAGAATCTACATCTTCGGAGTAATTAAAAGCAAAATAAAACAACATAACTATATTTTAAAGCATAGGATGTTCGTACATCATATATAAGTTATAATAACAATCCACTTAATAAATTTGAGTTCAAAGCGACTTGCATTGCATTAAAAATATGCAAAATATGCACCACATGACTGATGTTCTGCTGTTTGAGGCTGTCATCATGCTCATCTTCTCTTACTTTAGCATGCTTTTAGGTGCTAATGTCATCATGTGGGAGTGGATGTTATTTGTGTCGTACCTCAGAAGTGTCCAGAAGCATGCCGGTGATGTGTGTCCCGTGTGGAAACGGAAGATACTCCGCGATCACAAAAACAGGCTTTTCCAGGACTTTATGGACCCCTCCACTTTCTGTGAGACAATAAGAAAACTTTCGATATAACAACAGGACAAATAACTAATCTATCACATGCACATCATACAAGCATCTCTATATGGGAAGCTTTTAAGATACCCGACTCCAAATCGGGTTTGACTTTGATTTTACATGTTGCTTTTGCGTGAAATACATAATTTTCATGTCACAAGGCCGGAGTGAGTGTGAGGAAACACGATTCCTGCCGCATGTCGATATCCACGATCACTGGATCTCTGGTCAGTCGTAAGCAGTGGTGGAGGAAGTACTAAATCTCAGTACTTAAGTAAAAGTACAAATAACCAGAGACATATTTACTTTAGTAAAAGTGGAAGTACCACAATGACAACCCTACTTAAGTAAAAAGTACCTGATTTTAAATGTACTTTAAGTATTAAAAGTAAAAGTACTTGCATAACTATTTATTCTCTTAATGTATTCTAATGATTAATAAAACAGTTAATTCTAACTCATTCAACCTAATACTCATATAATGATGTTCAATATGATGGAAAAGCAGTTATATTTTAAGTTTTTGTCAACATTTCTGAACAACCTTGCAATTAGGCAATATACACATCAAGCTTACTATATACCCTTACTATATACGGTATATATATACATATATATAAACACATTATGTTAAAATGCCGTATATGACGGCGTTTGGCTGTAAACGCGATTCATTTATGGCGTAATTCTGAACCGCTTGGCTTGCCATAGTACTAATCCGAACCCAACGTATAATACACACGCACCCCACATCACTACTAAACCTACCAATGCGTTTCCTATGCATGTTAAAACTAATTTTCGCGTATAAATTGCACGATAAACACACTGTGTGCTATAGAGACGCATTTAGTGTGACCAGGTTGATATATCTATGGCAACCAAACTTCACTGGTGAGACAAACGTGCGATGAAAGGACGGTCAGGATGACGTTTTGGCAGGGAAAAACTGATCAGAACATTTAACGAAAATGTAACAGAACGTTGTAGAAATGTAGTGGAGTAGAAAGTATAATAATTGCTGCAAAATGTAACATTTACATTTAGTCATTTAGCAGACGCTTTTATCCAAAGCGACTTACAACTGAGTTACAACTGGTGGAATGTAACGAAGTAAAAGTAAAAAGTATGCACTATTGATTCTACTTAAGTAAAGTACAGATACGTGAAAAATTTACTTAAGTAAAGTAACAAAGTATTTGTACTTCGTTACATTCCACCACTGGTCGTAAGAAACACTAAAGCTTTAGTTTAAACTGATAATCGTTTTGGAGTTTCCTCTATTAACTCCAGTGCGGCTGAGACCTCAGTGCATAACCTCTATAAAATACACGACTCACTAGGGTTTGAAACTATTAGATTGCAACATTTCAATAAGTCATACAACACTCCTCACACACTTATCATTCATTCAGCCTCAGTCTTCTGACTAACATGTATAATCAATGATTCATTACATGTTTTCTAGAAATTACATGTCCATGCCTTTTCCTGTAGCTGCTGGTCATTTAAATGTGAAACGGATATGAGTTTAAATCAACATAAAACTGCATTTACAACCTTTTTATCTGCTCAGGTGACACTGAACAGGATGTTCAACGGGAAGCACGTCATAAAAATAAACAGTTTGACAGACTGACTAATGAGCCAAAAAAATTAAAAATCCCCCTGTAGTCAATCATTTTAAACTCATCTTTGATCACTGAAATGACACATTGAAATGTTTTTTCCTTGAAAAAAAAAAAGTTCTTCATGCCTTAAAGTATCTTGAATGTAACTCGACACCCTTGCAGGGATGGAAATTCACTTTTTTGTCCACCGGCCACTGTGGCTGCTGGATTTCAAAATCTACCAGCCACTCAATGTTTTTACCAGCCACTTTCTTGTTTTTAACCGACAATGTGTAACTGCATGTGAAAATTAATACTACAACAATACTTAAGCAGTTTATTTAATCTCAAGTCTCAATGAAATACTGACATTTTCTATTTCTCTCACCCTCGGCCTCATCCACCTAATCTGTCATTTATTTTTGTTTTGATGATAAATTGAGCCAGCCTCCAAAAGTAATTAAGTAAGTAAGTAAGTAAGTAAAAACTTTATTGTCCCACGAAGGGAAATTTGTGTTGGGCCATCACCCATGCTGCCGTCAGTATACAGTAAACATACAACAAATTTACAAACCAGACAATATTAATAATAAAAATTGCATAACTTACAACTCCATACCGCCATCATTTAACATCTTTACAGACACTGGAATAAATGAGTTTTTGAATCTGTTCAATCTACAGCGAGGAACTCTAAACCTCCTCCCAGAAGGCAGCAACTCGTACTCTGTGTACAGGATATGCGACGGATCGCACACAATCTTTTTAGCTTGCGTTAAAGTAGCCTGTTCATAGAGGGTCTGCAATGATGTCTGTTCTTTCACTCCAATAATTTTCCAGGCAGTGTGGATCATCCGTACCAGTTTAGTTCTACATGCTACAGACAGATTACCAAACCAGACTACAATACCATATCTAATTAAACTCTCGAAGACTGCCTGATAAAAAATTATCATAAACCTCTGATCCACACCATAAAGTCTAAGACGCCGTAAAAAGTGCAACCGTTGTTGTAATCTACTGCAAAGACTATCTACATGGATATTCCATGTCAGTAAATTATCAAAAAAGACCCCAAGATATTTATGTGAAGGGACCTGTGTGATGGTTTCATTGTGGATGATCACAGGCCTGTGATCACCAACTCCTCTAGGGTCGAACACCATTTCATTCGTCTTACTGACATTCAGAGCTAGGTGGTTATCCTCGCACCAATTCACAAACTGTTCAATCTCTGACAGATATTCAGACAAGTCCTCTGTCTTTTTCAGTAAACCTAAAATTGCAGTATCATCTGAGAACTTAATGATGTGGTTATTAGAATAACGCCTTCTGCAATCATCTGTATACAAAGTAAACAAAACCGGTGAGCTAACACAGCCCTGAGGGGCTCCTGTGCTTAATGTTCTAAATCCAGATAGTGTACCATTAACACTAACCTGCTGCCTGCGATTAGTCAAAAAAGAATAATACCATTTTATAATAAGTGGATTGACTTTAAAATCATTCAGCCTTGCAATTAAAAGATGTGGTTGCAACATATTAAAAGCTGAACTAAAATCTACAAATAAAAGACGTGCATACGAGCTTGGATCCTCTAAATGCCTATTTATAAAATGTGTTATAGATATAACAGCATCATCTGTACTTCTATTGCTCCTATAAGCAAACTGAAATTGGTCTGATAGACCACTCACGTCTGTTTTTACAAAATTAATCATGATTTTCTCCAAACACTTCATCATTATTGTTGACGTAAGTGCTACTGGACGATAATCATTATTCTCCTTACAGCTAGCCTTTTTTGGGACAGGGATAATAGTGGAGCTCTTCCACATAGAGGGAACTGTATTCGTGTCTATAGATTTCTGATAAATAGGGCACCAGGCTTCGGCCAGCTCTCTACTACAAGATTTTAGTAACCGCCCAGAGATGCCGTCCGGCCCAGAAGCCCTATTAGGACAGATCTGTGAAAACAGTCTCTCCACCATGTTCTGGTCAATAATTATTTTAGGATTATCCAATATAGACAAGGCATCCAGTGCATTTGCCTGCTCCTGTGAGAAGTCTCTTACATCAAATCTACAATAAAAATCATTCAACTCATTTGCCTTTGCCCCCTCATCTATCACATTGATAGATCTTTTTGCTGGAGCCATGTTTGTCATATATTTCATAGAATCCCATAATTTTTTGGTATTCATAGTCGAACAGTGGGCCTCAAATTTCTCCCTCTCCTTCCTCCTAGCTTTCCTTAGTTTATAATTCAGTTCCTTCTGTACATCTTTCATAGCTGCAAGGTCTCCTCTCCTAAAAGCCATTTTTTTCTGTACTATGCACTCCTTAATTTCCTTAGAGATATAGGATTTATTGTTCGGATATATAGTTATTATTTTTTGATCTAACACATTATCTTTGCAGAAAAGTATATAATCTGTCACAGTCTCTACGGCCTCCTCTAGATCCAAACTTTGAAAGACGTTCCAGTCAAGAGAAGCATCCTTTTAACGTTTCAATTCCATCATCATTCCACACATATACAGTTTTAGTTTGTGGTTTACTGCTTTTAAGCAGGGACTTATATGTCGGAATTAAATGGACAGCATTATGATCAGAGGAGCCTAATGGCGATTTAACCTTAGCTGTATAGGCATTCTTAACATTCCCATAACATTTGTCCAAGATGTTTTTGCCTCTCGTATTACAGTCCACATATTGATGAAATCCAGGCAACACAGCATCAAGTTTACAATGATTAAAATCCCCTAAAATGAAACAAGGTGCTTCCGGGGTACGACTTAATTGTCTATGAACACAGTCTGCTGTAAGTTTGGCTGCATTTGCAGCATTCCCACTAGGTGGAATATAAACAGTACATATTAAAATGTTTCCGAATTCACGTGGAAGATAAAAAGGCCTAAGGCTTACACATACCAGTTCCATGTCGGAGTTACAGAGCCGCTCCCTCACGGAGAATTGCGAGCACCACTTTTGGTTAACGTAAACACAAATACCGCCCCCTTTGCTCTTGCCTGAGTTGTCGTCCCTATCAGAGCGTACCAGTGAAAAGCCTTCCAGGGCAATGAACGAGTCCGGCACGTCTTCTCGTCAGTGTTGCCAACTTAGCGCCTTTGTCGCTATTTTTAGCGACTTTTCAGACCCCTTCAGCGACATTTTTTCAAAAAAGTGACTAGCGACAATTTTGCGACTTTTTGGACAAACCTCAGTAACCTCCAAATGGTGCCAGTACTGTCCTGCGAGCGCGAGGTCTTGCTTTCTCCCTGTCGTCACTCTCTCTAGCTGCGTCTCCCCTGTTCAGTGAATGGCTGAGAGGAGCGCACGGCCGCCGACAGACGCGAACGAGCAGTGTTTTTCCACGGACTGATCACTTATCTGCTTTTCTTTTGTTTTATATTTAAAGAATTTAGCTTGACCATTTTCATTTTATTTATTTTCTTGTGCTTATTACTTGTAACACTCACTATCACATAGCTTAGTTAATCCGGTTCTCTAACTCTCTCAATTCAGATAATGTTCTACATAGGCCTATAAAAAATTTAATAATTCACTATATTATACTCGTTCTATTTTCTGACAACAACAAAATAGGAAATGAGAACAGCTTTATTTGACATTCGGCTATATTATATTAAATAGAGCATTAATTTAGAGAGAAAACGCACTAGGCTGACAGAACGCAAGTACGACGCGATGACGTAATTAATATGTTAATTGACGTATGACGTCATCTAGCGACATTTAGCGACTTTTAGGGAAGGCGTTAGCTACTTTCCTTTGAAAATAGTTGGCAACACTGCTTCTCGTAACCACGTCTCCGTGAGCACAAGCAGGCATGAATCCCGGTACTCGTGTCGAACTCTGGTATTGACTCTTAACTCCTCAACTTTGCTTCTCAGGGAGCGGGTGTTGCAGAGAAGCATTGAGGGTAGTGGTGGTCTTTCTGCCCTTCTCCGTAATCTCTGCCTTACACCGCCGCGTTTTCCCCTCTTCCGCGTCCGTCTCCGACGGCTTTCCCCCACTGTCCTCGCCTGTAATTCCCTCGGTAGCTGGGGGGCGAGTGTGTGACTAGGCTGGAGCAGTAAAAGTTGGTCACGGGTATAGCACAGAACCGCCTCTGACATCAACAAGTCCTGATTCGCCAACATGGAATCGCATGTAATCAGCCATACGGCTAAAATCAGCATCAGTCCTCTTAATAAAACCAGCATCGTGTGCCCAGATTGAGGAATAATAAATAAATAAATAAAAAACAGACACAGACAGCAGCACAAGGTAGCCCGGGTCGCAACAGAGCAGCGCCACCGGCGCTTAACCTGTCCTGTGATTTTTTTTTTTCTCTCACACAACACTCTCCAGACACGGATTTATGAGCTATAGTATGTTGGTTGCCTTTACATTAGAATAATATTTAATATAATCTAGATATGAAATGGAATAAATAGCATTCAATACAAAATGAATATGTCTCATATATTGAAATCAAGTTTTATGTGATAAAATATTTGCTTTGTTGTGCATTAGAACCACATCAGGCATTTAATACAAAATAATTTATTGAAGCATCCAGATACTTCACCACGTGACAGCAGCTAGACTCCTGATTGGTTAACGCGGCGCGAATTGACGCTAAAGTTCAGATTTTTCAACTTGGGCGGCAGACTTCGCGAAGAGACGACTCAACGCCTGCGAAGAGACGACTCAACGCCGGCGATATGTTATCCCCTAAATATTACATGATTAACTAAATGTATTTTTTCCAGGTACTCTCTGATATGCACTTACTGTAAAGCTTCTTTAAAACCCTATGATTGTTAGCCAGAGGAGAACTGGCCCCTGACTAGCCTGGGTTCTCCCAAGGTTTTTTTCTCCATCCAATCTGATGGAGTTTTGGTTCCTTGCCACTGTCGCCTTGCTTTTGGCTTGCTTAGTTGGGGATATTTAATATTCAACAATATTATTGAACTGTGTTGTACTACTTTCATGTTATCACTGTGAAGCTGCTTTGATGCAATCTGTATTGTGAAAAGCGCTATATAAATAAATGTGACTTGACTTGACTTGACTTCGCGTCAAACGCGTGAATGCACAAAAGCACTCAATAAAATCATGCGCGCGGAACGCGTCAGACGCTCGAACTTGCCGCGCGAATGAGGCGTATTCGCATCTACCGCGCCGCGCTCTACACCTCATTCGCGCCGCAGGATTTTTTTTACGCGCGTAACGCGTCTTTGCATTGACTTAACAATGAAATCACTCGCGCCAGACGCTCTATTCATGTCTGGTGTGAACGCACCATGATGTTTTCTCTGCAGACCTCTACGCCTGCGATGTAACACCACATTTTGTTTGAAGGTGTGCCTCCTCTAAAAGTGTCCGCCGTCCGGGTGAAACAGTATGCTATTTTTATTTACCCGCCACGGTGGCCGGAAGGTGAAGCGAGTTTACCCGCCACAACACAAAATCACCCCCATTTGGCTGGTGGCGGGTGCTAATTTCCATCCCTGCACCCTTGCCTCATTTAGTATGTGCGGTTCTATGAATATGCAAATGAGCCCCGCCTCCACTCACTCCCTCAGCTCAGAGATCCACTGGTTGGCGATCACACATTGATCTGATTGGTTACAAGGTCGTTTGTGACGTCAGAAACACCAGCGATTTCAAACCGTGTTTTTGAGACTGTCTTTGGTTCACTGCAGTTTTAAGGAGGAAATACTCAGCAATGCTGTCGACTTTTACAGACTTTTTATTTGAGAATGTCTTCTTAAACAGGCGTACTGAACCATAAAGATATATTTGTGGGTGTTCTTTATGTGGAAATGATGCGTTTGTTCACATTGCGCTGGAATTTTAAGATACGCTGTGATTAATAGAGGAATGCATACTAAAGTTGTATAAATCGTTTTTAGGAACATTTTGGAAACTGTTGCACGTTCACATTTAGGATCATTCTTTGCACGCCTTTATAATTGAGGACTTGCATAAACTGCTTAAACTAGTCTTAAGAGTTAGTCATCTATTTTTTTTCCTTCAAAACTGGTCCTTACTTTTAAAAGCCAGTTACATAAAAAGGTAGATCGGTCTAATTTGAATTGTAAAAGTAAGAAAAGTTAGTATCTAACTGCTAGTTGGTCAATCTAGTTCTTAAGACACGGTTGTTACACAGTGGCTAAGTTCATGCAGCTGAATGGTAAGGGTTCCCATCTTCAGTGACGGATTCACGTACCGAGAGACAGAAGCAGGACCGTGTCGTGTTGCTCTCGGTCCACCTGGATGTGTGTGTAATGGCGGTGTCTAAACAGCAGGGGTCCGTTCTCCGGCATCACCCAATCCCTCATCTCGGGACGCCCCGACATGACCTTCAGGACCTCGGAGCTTAGACCAGCACTGTCAGCGACACACTAAAAGAACGACGAGATGCTAGTTAGAAGGAATGGGAAAGATAACTGGGACTGACTGTTTTCAGAGCTCAACATTCGGATCTCTATCAAGAATTGAAGTGATGATATATATGCTATAAAAACCCAGACTGACTGATGACATCATTCGGTTCATGAGACGTGTAGTTCATTCATTACCCTCATAAAAGACATTAAGTACACTGAAAGTAAATGACAAATAGCATACTCTGTTTGCTGAAGAAGAAAGGCGGATATTGTTGAGCTCCATGAATGACAATATTATGGAAGCTTGTTTCCACCACAGAATAACACACAATTGCTTTATATCTCATAATTCTGACTATATCACACAATTCTGACTATATCACACAATTCTGACTATATCACACAATTCTGACTTTATCTCACAATTCTGACTTTATAACTCGCAATTGCGACTTTCTATTACGCAATTCTGACTTTGTAATACACAATTGCAACTTTATATCACGCAATTCTGACTTTATAACACACAATAATGACTTTATAACACAATTACGAGTTTATATCTCACAATTCTGACTTTATAACACACAATTGCAACTTTATATCACGCAATTCTGACTTTATAACTAGGGTTGGGTATCGGTTGGGTTTTATCCGCTACCAGTACCTACTCGGTATTTTTTAAACGGTTCCGGTGCTTAAACGGTTCTTAAATCGGTACTTAAGAAAATCAAACCGTACACACTTTAGAAAAAAATAATACACTTTAATTTACAGGGCCAAACTGGACACAATATTAACTTAAATCTTTAAACAATATAAATACAAGTAACATATGGTAATAATAAAACCAATATAAAATAAAAATTCATATTTACATAATATCAAATGAAACAATATTGTATCAAACAATGTAATAATACTGGAGATTAATAGAGATTACTAGCAGGCAGAGCTGCCAACTCTCACGCATTGACCGTGAGACTCACGCAAATGACCCTTTTCACACAGAAAAATCGCGGACAAAGAGGACACTGACAGACAAGACAGAGAAGGTTACTTTTGATATGGAACAAATCCACAGCTGTCAGATTCTGTCAATATTTTTACGAGATTCACACAATAAATAACGTTTTGGCTCTTTGAAATGTGACAGATCGCTGTAGCGCGTCAGTTCAAACGGCGCGTGATACAGCAGCCTACAAATCCACTGCTTCTTAGCTACGCAGCGTTGAGTGAACCTATGAAAGAGAACATCTCTGGTGACTGGTGTAACATATCTCTCAATAGGGAACGAGACGCTGCCAAGCTCCTCGCGCTGCCGACCAGCTTCCTTTTTCGGCAGAGAAATCTGAGGAGCAGATGGCGCGCGCGCCAACATAATATGACGACATAAGTGCGTCGAGGCGGCACCCGCCCCATCAGCCAATGAATTAGCTTGATTCTATATGGATTTAGACTATCGGCACACCCAGAGGGCGTTCTTCTGACGCGTAATTTTACACGTGAAATGCAGCCAAACCTTGCGAGAAAGAGCGCGCATGCGAGACAGAAGAGACTGTGCTCCAAACTGTGTAGCACACGCACGGCGGAGAGGGAGAGAGCGAGAGACCTTGCGTGTGTGTGTGTGCCTAATGAAGTTAGGCACCGAAATCAGGCACCGAAATTTTCGTTCTTATTCGGTCTGGTTACTACCGTTTACGTCAGAACCGGTTCCCTATTGGCACCGAGTTTCGGTACCCAACCCTATTTATAACACACAATTGACCCTTCGCAGGGAGCTTGATTGACAGGTGATCTGACCAATCATACTTCGCCATCCGCCATTTTGTCTGACAAAGCAGTCAGGAGAGTTAGCAGTTAGTAGATTAACATGGGAGGATTTGAACTTGAGAAGCGGAGTGTACTGACGCCTTTCTGCGGCTAAAACAACATTCCTTCTGATGTTCATTCATGTTTATTTGATGCTATAAATGAACTAGAAGGAAGAGATGATCGGTTCACGAGCAGCTTTAACTGAGGCTCTACAGCGATCTGTCACGACACATTAAAGAGCCACAAAACGGTATTTATTGTTTAAATTTCTTTTAAAAAATGACCAACTTTGAAAGGTGAGACTTTGTTTAATATGTGTAATATCAAAAGTAACCGAAAAGTAACCTGGTCTGTCCTGTCTGTCAGCGTGTTGTCAGTCCGCGATGTATTTTTCACTGCGTGAGAACATGGTTTGTGTGTGTGTGTGTGTGTGAGAGCAGCGTAGCTTGCCGGACATAGCGACAGTAACTAAGGGGGGCGGGTCTTTGCAAACGGTCAATTAGGGGTGTGCAGGTTTCTGAATTGGTGATGACGGTTATGACGTGAGTCAAATGTGACGGTTCGTAACATAACCGTCGTCGGGGTCGGGGTCGGGGGGGGGGGGGGTTATAGGACGTTCGGTTGAATAACTGTTCGTCTGTTATAGGACAAATTAGTTTGAATAAACAAGCGGACGCTGATTAGCTACTCGCTCTACGTCTATTTAAAATGAACAGCAAGACAACTAGAAGTGAATGTGCTTTCCATTAAATGAATCCTTTAAAAAAAAGTGCTTTGCAATGAACGTGCTTTGTTTTAAATAAATCACACACAGTAAACAAAACCTTAACAAAAAAACTTTGCAATGAACTTTGCAATTTAGACGCGCAAACTGCGTGCCGGTGCGGTGAGACGTGCATGCTCGGGCAGATTCGGCTTGAAGTCGTTCATCCTCGGATGCGGCGCCGCGCGCTGTTACAAAAAAGCCGTGCACACAGCCAAGAGAAATGGGGTGTTGCCGGCGCACCCAACGCTCATTTTTGCCGCGCGCACCTTCGCGCTCGTGCGGACGCGTCGAGTATAAACAATTAAGGCTTTACTCCGTGTCAGCGCGCGCTCTGATCGGTAAAGGTGCACAGACCTCTCCCGAATCATCTCCAGCAGTAGCAGCCTCTGAAGCACCACTAACTCACCCGCCGTTCCCCCCTAAGCTGATATTAGTATTTAAACATTCTCTATGATAAAACATTTTTGTAAAAAATATTTTAATAGCACGGTTTTGGCGGTTATAGAGTTCTAATGACGGTGTTCAACTATAACCGTCGGTCTCACGGTTATATAATAACCGTCACACCCCTACGGTCAATTGCAACTTTATATCATGCAATTCTGATTTTATAACTCGCAATTGCAACTATATCACGCAATTGTGAGATAAAAAGTCGCAATTACCTTTTTTTTATTCTGTGGTGGAAACAAGCTTCCATACAATATTGACCGTACAAGCCAAATTTATTTGTATAGCGCTTTCAACAAAAAATGTTGTTCAGAAATTCAAGATGTTAATGTTTATAATACCCTAATATCCTCATGCCTTATAGCAGATTACAGTTGGGCGATAATATAGTTCTCATTTTGTGATTTCCACAAGCCTCGCTTCAGTGACGGCATATTCTCACCGCTCCGGGCCGGTGACCCGCAGGGACGCTGTTGGAGTTGAACTCAGAGGAAGTGAAGATAGTGCTGATTTCAGTCATGTTATAAACACACACAGCACTCATGTTCCTGTAAATTGAGAAACAAAAAGAGAAGTTGTGTGAAGTGTGAAGCTCTGTCTCTTGAGTTTGTGAAACTGTGTCAAATGACAGACATCAACATGTAAACCCTCTATTCAACAGGATCATGTGACTCCGCGTCAGTCATGTTAGCATTTACACTGATGTGATTCGATTTGATGTCGATTCATTTGGATATATATTTAAGGCACAGCACAGTAAAAACCTCAATTAATGTTGTAAAGTTTACATTTCTATAATATTAAAGGTTAAAATGAACAACTGATTTGTATAAAACATGGCAAACGAGGCATTTTTATAATAAAGTTTGTGATGACGTGTTTCTACACAAATTTGTTGAAAATAGACATTTAAATGGTCGGATTTATTCACACATTAAATTTTTAAAGAACAAGTAAAAAAATATATGTATTTTAGAGCATATTTTAGTCCAAATGCTCCTCTCTAGTGTCATTATTCAGTATATAGTCACTGAATGTGCTGTTGAAACACTGATTACATGATTGACTTCAGTAAGTTGTTCTGTATCCTTCAACATCCCTTATAGTAGTAAAGAGGAAGAGATGATTGGTCACGCCACATTAAAAAGGCCCAAAATCACATTTATTGTTTGAATTTAATGATAAAACTGACAGAATTTGAAAGCTGAGACTTTGTTTCATTTCAAATATATCAAAGCACAAAGCTTATTACAAATGTTTGGTGTTTTGTGCAGGCATCAACTAAAATTTCGAAGTGTTTGCCTTACCAATAGTTTCTGAAAAGCGCATAGATTTTGATGTCGTCGTCGTCGTCCGTTTGTAGCGTGGCCACATCTATCAGCTGACTGAAGTCATAACCTCTCCCACAGAACAGCCGGGCGTAGATCATCGAGGTCCAGCTGTTCTGAAGGTGACCCTTCCGACCGCCACGGTCATTCTGAAACACATCGACTCGGGTCAGTGCATATGGACTGCTTTAAAGGGCTCATTGGATACAAAATTCACTTTTATATGGAGTTTGCATATAAATGTGTGTTTGCAGTGTGTGCGGACACAACCACCATATTAGCATATTTCCCGTATTAGCATATTTCTGTCAAGTCATCACTTTGTGTCTTGTCAACACTCCCCATGGGGGGTGAGCAGTTTCTCATTATCATTTAAAGAGACACGCACCTCATTATCATTTAAAGAGACAAGCAGCTCATCATCATTTAAAGAGACATGCACCTATTAAATGCTTTTATTTACACACGCTAATGTGTCATCATCATTTAAAGAGACATGCACCTCATTATCATTTAAAGAGACATGCACCACATTATCATTTAAAGAGACATGCACCTCGTTATTTAAAGAGACATCCACCTCATTATCATTTAAAGAGACACGCACCTCATTATCATTTAAAGAGACACGCACCTCATTATCATTTAAAGAGACAAGCAGCTCATCATCATTTAAAGAGACATGCACCTCATTATCATTTAAAGAGACATGCACCACATTATCATTTAAAGAGACACGCACCTCATTATCATTTAAAGAGACATGCACCTCATTATCATTTAAAGAGACATGCACCTCATTATTTAAAGAGACATGCACCTCATCATCATTTAAAGAGACATGCAGCTCATTATCATTTAAAGAGACATGAACCGAAACGGGTTGCTGTGGACAGAGCTGTTTTTGAGGAGGTAAAAAGGCTGTTGTTTTACACAAACATTGAGGAATTTTAACCAAAGTATGTTACAAACTTTACATGAAGACCCTAAAGAAACATACCAACTTGTGGAAAATGGGCATCCGATGACCCCTTTAATGAAATATTTATGGTGTTTGTTGTCCTTTGTGTGTCTACACTGTACATAAAAAGCAATATGAACATTTAGCTAAATATCGGTTGTGTTGCACAAAAGAAAGTTATACGCGTTTGGACTGATGATGAGGGTGAGTAAACGATTACTACAATAAAATAAGCTCTGCATGTTATTCTGCATCACTCTGTGATTGCAAAAAGTTACACAATATTTCTCAAATGATCTAATGCAATCAAGAAAATTGAAACAAGGACCATAAATCTACAGCAATATCCTGATTTCATACAGAACAAGGTTTAATGTTCAATCAATGCTTTCATAATTGCAAAAATTCTGAGACATTTTCTGGTTAATTTATTGCATGCATGCATATATTCAGAGCTCTGACATGAACACTTGACGTGTCATCAGCACCTGCGTTTATAATTATATAACATTTCCCTTTGGCACAAATGTGACTGTGAGTTACTGAGAAACATCTTTATTAAACATGCAGGTGTCATTTTGTCATCTATTAAAATAGGTGAAAGGATGCAGAAGGAAATGCAGACGACGCACACACATTCTGTGCAAGATGCAACACCATCAGGCTGCATTTAATGCGGTTTACTGACTGATATATGAGATGATATTTGGCAAATCTGAGATTATTTATAATTGTGAATTTGACTGAGAAACAGAAGTGATACCTACACCGTTCCAGACACGTATGACAGCCTTTCTATAATTCATTTATATATATATATATATATATATATTAGGGGTGGAGCCGAACCCGAATACGGTATTCGGAAAGGCACAAATAACGTGTTTTTTACGAATACTTATTTCGAATAAATACTTTAAAAATATTTGTATTCGGGAACAAGAAAAACTTTATATCAAAAAGCTGCGTTTCCTCGTGAGACCGCACTGCAGTGCATGCCCGTTAGCCTGGAACACACCAAGCCGACGCCGACGAACTAGCGCCGATGAAAGCCGACTGTGTTGTCGCCTCTCGTTGCCTCTCGTCGGGGTAAAAAGCTGCACTTGAACACACCGAGAGAACTACAGGCGACTGTCAGCTAGAATGCGCGTTCTGCGCCTGCGTGTAAATGAGACAACTGTCTATTTCTGCAGATATATTCTCTATATTCGTCATTCAAAAAGGGGAAACCGACGCTGTCGGCTGCAGATACACAAACCATAAACAAAGCAGTGCGTGCTTACCTTTTTAAATATCAATCCTGCTAAACACTTAATTTATTCCACTCCGCTCGTGTTAATATTGAAATATTCGCCAAGGAACACTCAGGTAATATGACGTAACATAAGAACAGCCTTCTATCTGTAGAGTTTTGACTTCTTTGCTCGCTGTTTTGCTATTATTCTCGTGCATGACTCTTTCACTAAGCTGAACAGCCAATCAGAGTTCCCTCTTTCACCGACGGCCCGACGCCGATTCAACATGTCGAATCGGCCGAAACAAAGCCGACGAGGACCAATTTCAGCCGACGGCACGGAAGGAAACTCAGTCGGCCGACGCACAAAAACTGCCCGACGCCCGACCGTCGGCTTGGTGTGTTCCAGGCTTTAGAGTGAGTGTGTGACGTTCAGGAAGAGGTGACTGACACAGGCTGCTCCACACAGCAACAGAGAGGGCTCGGCTGAGCGAAAAACACTTAACTGCATCACTATTTTTGTTGAATAGATTTTTGTACCTTAACTGGGTTCCGGAGGCAGTTTATAACTTTCGGGAAGCGAACTTGACGCTGCGCGGGGGACAAGATCTGATGGCCGAGCGCGAGCGCGGGCGCGGGCGGTAATGCACTCACTCTGTGTGTGCGGGTTACGGGAGAATAAAACGATTCGCGGGACTCCCGCAAACTAGAAATATCTATGAATAAAACATATAAAGACTAATAGATTTGTATTCATCTGTTGCAGAAAAGCAACAAGAACAACTAAAACAAAATAGAAACGATTTACAGGCCAGAGTTTCTATTCATAACATGTTAGCCAATCACAGACATATGTGTTGATTTCTTGAACGCAATTGGCCAATCAGAAGCCTTTAAGATAGACTCCCCTCACCGCTCACGATGAACTGTCAGCTTTTTAGGGATTATTAAGGGAGCGCACTTTGAGCGCATTCAGTCATGCCAGACCATGCACGCAGTAGCTGCTTGCTTTTATGTTAAATTAACAGTGGTTTGTGTGTTAATGCTTTAATAAAAAATAATTTATCATAGGGTATGGTCAGGTTTTGTTTACATCCATTTTATTTATTGTTTTTGGTATTTATTCAAGTGCATTTTTTGTTAACAGAGACTGAGAGTCCATTGCTTTTATTGTTTTTGGTTGTTTTGTTCATTTATTGTGGATATTTAAAATGTTTTCCATTTTCAGTGTTAAATAGTCTTTAGAAATAAAAGTTTTTTGGTCTTTGAAAAGGTGTAGGCCTACCTGCATTATTATGCCATTATCATTATTTTAGATGTAAATGGTCTCAGAACGACAATATTCTTTCTTGGTCCTCCACCAGCCAAAAAAACTTGCTCAAGTTCTGTGTGGAAGCATTTTATTATATCATATTGTTATTATCTTTTCAATGACGTTCCTTGTTACATGTTCATTGCTGGATTTATGGAAAAACATCAACCAATTTTGCATATCCATAATTATTATAATGGATATAATTAAAGAATACTAAGTATTCTTAGTATAAATATATAATGTAAGTCTTACACTATAACGTAAATTAGAAGTGTAACGCCAAAAAAAAGTATTTTTACGCCTATTTGGAATTTTCCTCGAACACAAATACAAATACAAATACTTTTCCCCCCTCAACAAATACAAATACAGATACAAATACCGGCTGCTTTGCACACCCCTAATATATATATATATATATTTATTAGGGGTGGAACGGTACATGTATTCGTATCGAACCGAAACGGTATGGGCGTCACGGTTCAGTGCACGAATTTACACGGAGAATACACGGTATAAAAATAAATAACACTAGACGCGAATTTGACGCTCTATTCGCGTTTGGTGTGACCGTGACCGCATAATGAACAGGCTGCGATGTCAAGATTGCAATGCTGGAGTGTGTGTGTGTGTGTGTGTGTGTGTGTGTGTGTGTGTGTGTGTGTGTGTGTGTGTGTGTGTGTGTGTGTGAGTAAACTGTAAACTCTTGTCAAACTGTAACCTACAACTGTCACCCAACCAAAATCACACACACACACACACACACATACTGTTTTAAAAGCAAAACATATTTATCCAACTCCATTTCAAAACAGTCTGTGGGTCCCATCTTTTGGACATTCGTCATATTGCATTGGTTTCCATTTCTTGTCCTCGGAGCGCTAATCTTACACACTCTACATTGATTAAAAAAAAAAAAATCGAATGTGTTTTTAATGGTAGTATTATTTTATACAGAAATCAATTATTTATATAATTCAGATGAGAATAATGTTACATTGTCAATTAATAATGTTAATTAAAATTAAGGAAAACAAATATATTGATCTGAAATATAGCAAAATAATTTTAAATTAATAGTACAATTACCAAACATATCGCAAGGTCTTTTTGTCTTTTTATTAATTTAATTAATAAACTAATTATATAAAACTATTGTCAGTGCACTACAAATAAACTGGTTCTATGCCTTTATTAATAAAACTTATTTAAAAAATACAATGCCTTCTGCATTTTTGTTTTGCTTTTCCCTCCATTGTACCGAAATCGTACCGAACCGTGATGTCTGAACCGAGGTATGAACCCAACCGTGACTTCTGTGTACAGTTCCACCCCTAATATATATATATATATATATATATATATATATATATCTTATATACACTACCATTCAAAGGTTTTGGATCAGTATGATTTTTAATGTTTTTAAAAGAAGTCTCTTCTGCTCGCCAAGGTTACATTTATTTGATTAAAAATACAAAAAAAACAGTAATATTGAGAAATATTATTACAATTTAAATCATCTGTTTTCTATGTGAATATACAGTAAAGTGTAATTTATTCCTGTGATCAAAGCTGAATTTTACAAAAGATTCTATTTCAAATAAATGCTGTTGTTTTGTACCTTCTATTAATCAAAGAATCCTGGGAAAAAAAATTACACGACTGTTTTCAACATTGATAATAATCATGAATGTTTTTTAAGCATCAAATCATATTTAGAGTGATTTCTGAAGGATCATGTGACACTGAAGACTGGAGTAATGATGCTGAAAATTCAGCTTTGATCACAGGAATAAATTATATGTTAAAATATATTAAAATTGTTATTTTAAATTGTCATAATATTTAACAATATTACTGTTTTTTGTGTGTGTGTGTGTGGTATTTTTAATGAAATAAATGCAGCATTGGTGAGCAGAAGAGACTTCTAGTGTACTACATCTGAAGTCAATTTAAATTGCATTATGTCTGCAGTGTTCTGTAACTGGGACAGATAGATGTCACTGGGCGGTTTCTTTAGATTTTGTGTTAAAGGGATAGTCCCATCAAACATATTTTTTGTCATTATTTACTCACCCTCATATCTTTCTAAACTTGTATGACTATCTTTCCTCTGCAGAACACAAAAGGAGACGTTTTTAGGAGTGTCACGTAAATCTGATGATTAGGGTCCATTGTTGTTTTGGATCATATCGACGCTCCTTTTATGGACAAATTATATATTTCAAAATCTTTTGTGTTCCACAGAAGTCATACAAGTTTGGTACGACTTTAGGATGAGTAAATAATGACTGTTTTAATTTATGGGTGGAGTTTCAATTAGATAAAGTTAGTAAGAATGCAGAGTTGTTGTTGTGGCTGTCTATGAGTGCATGAACATGACCTACAAAAACACTGAAGCTGTACTTTTAGGGGTGTAACAATACCATCATGTCACGATTCGATACATATCACGATACTGAACTCACGATACGATATTATTGCGATACTCCAAGACATATGGTTAAAGGCTAAGAAAAAAATTACAGTTGATTAAAATGCTCAATTTGATATTACATTGTGTGTGTAAATGAATAGGCTTGGACTTGGTGCTGGAAACCCAAAGCACAGGCTAATAGAGACACCAGAATAACAATATTCATGATTCTGAAGCTAAAAAGTATTATTATTAAGAGTTATTTTAGACTAATATCTTTGCAATCTGTCACTGACTAGATGTATTTAAAATAATGTCGGCCACTTTTTACTGGTATCATCAGACATCTGGCATTATCAGGACACACAGATATTCCCACAGTGCATTATTATACATTATATTCAACATTATTTATAGCAGTTCAATGTAGTACTGACACTAAAACTCTGTAAACTTGAATTTTTTCTCACACAGTAATTTTTATTTTGGGTGAACTATCCACTAAACATATTGTTGCATTTTTGTATTGTGACAGGATATATTGTTAAACCCCTATTGAGATTCCTCAGATGTTAGAAAAACCCTTCATGGGGTTCATATACAGGTCAGAGGGAATCTCTAATTGCATTATCACTAATAGTTTACAGTATATGTGACCCTGGCCCACAGACCCAGTCACGAGTCGCACGGGTGTATCTGTGGCAATGGTCAAGTTACCCAACAATACATTTTATGGGTCAAAATTATCGATTTTTCTTTTATGGCAAAAATCATTAGGATATTAAGTTAAGATCATGTTCCATGAAGATATTTAGTAAATTTCCTACCGTAAATATATATAAAAATATATTTTTGTGAGTGGATGCAGCAAAATCGCGACCATAAATGCACAACTTTAAAGGCGATTTTCTCAATATTTTGATTTTTTTGCACCCTCAGATTCCAGATTTTCAAATAGTCGTATCTCAGCCAAATATTGTCCTTTATTCAGCTTTCAAATGATGCATTAATCTCAATTTCAGAAAAAGTACCCTTTACTGGTTTTGTGGTCCAGGGTCACATGGCTTTAAGCACGTCTGCTGTACAACACAATCACACACAAATAAAACAAGATCTCGAGATGTTTCGCTGTGCGTTTCCGCTCACCTTGCAGCTCTGAGAGACTCGAGGGATCCACTGGTCCGATTCGCCATCTTTACTTTTGTGTTTCTCAGCGAAGAAGGAATAAACTTTGTCCTGGTGTTGGCCTTCACCAGCGACCAGCTTCAAGTACTTTTGCTCTAAATGTTACATGAGAAAAACGGCCCTTCTCAGAATGAAACTCATTTCAGTGAGAAAGTGAAATGAAACCGTTTAGATATCAGTAGTATTGTGTTTAATCTGATTTCTCACCCAGTTGAGTCGACTGAGACCAAATGTTGTAATTTTTGTCCTTGTTTACCCTGTACAATCCCATCTCAGACGTAGTGAAGTACAGCATATCATCTGAAAGGTAAAAGAAAGAGCGAACATGGACGTCACGCGTAGCATGAGATAAACGCAAATTATGCATTACTGTTGCTAGTCAATCATATTGACCTTAGTCAGGGTAAAGTCATATTACATTTTTACCAGAATGAAAACGAGACGTGCAGTTTGTACAGTTAAAACCAGTTTGAAAGTTGAGAGTTGTGTGAAACTGATCTTGGACCTTTATACAGTGCATGTTACTCTATGTCTAAACTTAATTATCATCCACATAAAATGTAATATGGTCTCCACCCAGACTATATAATAATAAAATATATAAAATATCCAATATTTACTCACTGTCAAGCCATCCTAGGTGTCTAGATTTTCTTGTTTCAGCCGAACACAATCGGAGTTATGTTAAATAATATCCTGGGTCTTCCCAGCTTTATAATGGGAGTGAATAGTGCATGAGTTTTTGAAGCTCCAAAAAGTGAATCAATCCATCATAAAAGTAATCCATACGACTCCAGTGGCCATAAAGGCCTTCTAAAGCAAAGCAATGGGTTTTTACAAGGAAAATTATCCATATTTAAAACTTTATATGCTACTAAAACCCATGGCTTCGCTTCAGAAGGCCTTTATGGCCACTGGGGTCGTATGGATTACTGTTATGATGGATGGATTTGTTTTTTTTGGAGCTTCAAAAACTCAGGGACCATTCAATGTCATTACTGGGAAGACCCAGGATATTATTTAATATAACTCCCGATTGTGTTCAGCTGAAAGAAGATCGTCTAGACACCTAGGATGGCTTGAGGGTGGGTAAATTATGGGATAATTTTCATTTTTGGGTCAATTATTTCTTTAACACCAAGTATTAAACTTCAGTGTGTAACTCAAACCAAAAGTCTCATATATAAAGAGAAGAATATCAGAGTCTTGACAATGGACTCTTGTGATTTGAACCAGTAAGAAACCGCTAACAATCTCATAGCCAGGCTCAAACAAATTTATTTATTTTTATTTCCATCTATTTAGCATCACAGAAAGGAAGTTTTGCACATACAAAAAACATCTATTTACTTCTCGGTTTGGTGATGCAGAAGTGACGCTTTACCTTTCAAAGCATTCTTGCGAAATGTTTAGGTTGAAGTCAATGTGCACTTAAAGTCCCGCTGTGGTGTAAATCCAGCTTTTAATGTTGTTTATGTGTCTATGTGGTGTTTTTAATATGCTTTAAGACACACCATGTGTAAGTTCATAAGTCGACAGCATTGCTGAGTATTTCCTCCTTAAAACTGCAGTGAACCAAAGACAGTCTCAAAAACACGGTTTGAAATCGCTGGTGTTTCTGACGTCACAAACGACCTTGTAACCAATCAGATCAACGTGTGATCGTCAACCAGTGGCTCTCTGAGCTGAGTGAGTGGAGGCGGGGCTCATTTGCATATCCATAGAACCGCACATACTAAATGAGGCAAGGGTCAAGTCAAGTCACATTTTTTTATATAACGCTTTTTACAGTAGTGTTTCAAAGCAGCTTTACAGAGATAACAGGAAAATAATGCAAAAAAGTTTGTTTCCAGAAGAAAACAGCGTCACAATCCAGTTCAGTAATATTTCATTTTTGTTTTAAAATAAAAGTGGAGGCGGGGCTCGTTTGCATATTCATAGAACCGCGTATACTAAATGAGGGTGTCGAGTTACATTCAAGATACTTTAAGGTATGAAGATATTTTTTTTCAAGGAAAAAATGTTGAAATATGTCATTTTGGTGATCAACGATGAGTTTTAAGGGATACAATTATTGATTACAGAAGAACTTTAAGAATATCTCATACTATGTGATGCGCCACGGTTTTCAAATCTTGTAGTGTGTGCAGGTTTGAGATTTGAAAGAAAATGTGTGCTTGATGCAACCAGATTTAACAATCAGTTAAGATTGAAGGTTAAGACAGCACAGATCAAACCATCCTAGTGTTACAGAAACACTAATCAAGGGTCAACATCCATCTGTCAGACTATATATGGAGACAAACTAGACCATCAGTAAACGGAGATCTTTAGTTCCTCTTTCAGTTCCTCTCACAAAACTTGATGAAGCAAACAAATGTGCAGAAATCACAATTTCTTCTCAGACGCATTCCTGACACTGTAGTTTAACCAAACGTGAGCATTTGAACATTTTGAATACTGTATGAGCAGCATGAACATTCTGCTAAACTTCTCCATTTGTTTGGAACATATATCCAATATTTTTTATCGTAGGGACACATAATATCCATCAACTTTCCTGTTAGTTTTCCAGAATATGAGTTAAACATTGACAGTTAGTTATATGTAGTATCAGCAATAAATGGTATCATATGCAAATGCATGTTAGTTGCAGCATGAGCTTCAGTAACAGCACAGCGTTTCAACACGTCAGCGGTTTCCTGAAGCACTGCTAGAACAAACACGCAACCCTGTGTGAAATCATATTGAAATGCTATTTCATAATGTAAGCTTCTATACTAAAGATTAGTGCCTTGATACTTTCCTCAACACTGAATAATGGAGGAGCAGAAGGGAAAGTAGGAGTGTTTGAGAAACCAAACCAAGCACAATCCCCCTTGTATGTACAATAATAATAGCCATACAGTGGTCAGCTATATGCCAAACAATGAACAAGCCATTTGGTTGTGAAGAATCTGAGTGGGTGCAAGATGAAACCAGCCCTTCAATAGCACAAATATTGAACAAGATATGAATGATCATTATTTTTGCAATTCTTATTAGTGGCAGCAAAACTGCAACTCAAACTAATGCAAGCTCACTACGTACATGAATACAAACGCATACACCAATACTCAAAACAGTGTGTAATACTCACCAACAAGTAACGATGGCTCATTAATAATTGGCTTATAATTTTCTAATTTGAAGCAGTCAGTCAGGGAATAACTGGAGGTCTGGAACAAAACAGATTACTCAGCTTCATACATTCACACCAGTTTAAAAAGCATACGGTAAAAACAGAACGTACCAAGTTACAGCACTTTGTATTTTCACAAGTAGATCCGCAAAAAAACAGATTTCCATCAGCGCCCTGACTGAGCAGAGAGAGCCTGTACGGACACTTCTGAAAAATCAACAGTTCAACAGTGGTTAGTGACCTTTAATGCGACAGAAAATACCAGAAGCTCCTGAAACAACATTGAGAATGTTTACGTTAATGTTCGATTTTGCATAATAAAAAGTGACTGGTCATGTAGGTGCAAAAATTGGAATAAGATTATTATTACCTGCCATTTAAACACCTTAACCTGCATTGTCGGCTTTTTTTTTGTGTGTGTGTGTGTGTGTGTGTGTGTGTGTGTGTGTGTGTGTGTGTGTGTGTGTGTGTGTGTGTGTGTGTGTGTGTGTGTGTGTGTGTGTGTGTGTGTGTGTGTGTGTGTGTGTGTGTGTGTGTGTGTGTGTGTGTGTGTGTGTGTGAGAGACATAAAATCGTCCTTACTGGTAAAGTTTCACAGAAATATATGGACTTCGATTTTAACCCAAGATATTATAGAAATGTTTTCATCTTGTACAGCCGAATGAAGAGGAGAAAACAAGTCTTACAACCTGGCAAGAAAATCATGTTTACATTTAAACCAGTAAAACTGGTTTTAAAACAAAAATGGAATAAGCAGATTGGTTAATACCAGAGTCAGTCAAGTATCTCTTGAGTAAAATCTTCTTAACACTTACTGAATTGTCTGAATCTTCGCTTTCATCCTCACAGAGACTCACATTTACCTAAACAAGGATCCAAACAGACATGAAGTCTATTACTGTAAACATATCATGTTACAAGACAAAAAGTTGACACTAGACAAACATAACCTTCAAACTTGCTAATCATGTCAAACTTGCTAATCACTCCAGCCATAAACTCTTAATAAGAACAAAGTATTTCAATGTATTTCAATGTTTCGCATCAGAGCAAGTTGGATAAGGTTTTGCATAATCGTTTAAAGTAAAATATCTTCTCTTTTGGCAGACAATAATCAGCTGGTTTTATATGTCTATATAAGGTACCAGTTTGGGTATGAAGTCTTGTGCTGGTTTGATGGAATAAAGGGTCTCGTTTCTTCCCATCCAGATGATGCTACCGGAGGTGCTGACCAGCTTAACCAAACCACTATGGTGGTTTTCAAAAGAAAACCTGGTTATACCTGAAAGAGTGAGAAAAACTGAAGATATAATATCTAAAAAGTGTGCATTCAGTTTAATAATGCACAACACCAGCTCTGGGTTGCGTTGCCCAAAAGCATCATTAGCCAACTAATATGGTCGCAAGTTGAGTTGAGTTTGTATCATAGTTGGCTCCGGGAAACACAGCCCTGAGTGGTTTGTGGGTAATTACCATAGAGTTCATGAGAATACATGTGAACATGAAGTGAGGCTTTGACACATGAAAATGTGAATATTTGACTATTAAATATTAGATTTGGATAGGCTATAAAACACCTTTAACATATTTCCATGTAATTATCCGACAATAAAATGTTTTTCAAACTATTTAAAGTCCCCCTTTGGTGAAAAATCAAGCTTTTAATGTTGTTTATATGTCTATGTGGTGTTTTTAATATGCTTTAAGACAAACCATGTGTAAATTCATAAGCCGATAACCTTTGCTGAGTATTTTCTCCTTAAAACGGCAGTGAACCAAAGACAGTCTCAAAAACACAGTTTGAAATCACTGGTTTGTCTTTCGAAAGGGAACTCGCACTGCGTCGATTTGACACTATGGGGAACGCCTCCGCGTTAACCATAGTCTGAAACGCTTATCCAATCCTATTGGCCGGGGACAGCCTATGACATCACTACTAGTGCGACCTGGAAGTATATAAGGGGAGCCTGGAGAACATGTCAACAACGTATCGTCTTCAGGGACTGTTTTGTCTGTACCTGAAACTTCTAAAAGGTAATCATGGCTTTTGAAAAACGCTTCAGGAAGTGTGTGCATCTGTGTCTAAGATATTTGACACCTGATGACACACACAACTTGTGTGTTTATTGTTTGGGCTGAGAGCACGCAGGATCAGTTCCTGAGGGATCTGCTTGTGCCAACTATGAGTTTTTCCCTTGAGAAAACGCTCGAGGTATCTGTACCAGGCGGCTCGCGCTGAGAGCGGCTGGAATCGTGGGTTTTTTCAGAGGGAAATCGCTGAGGAGTTGGAGGTAATTGTTAATCTCTCACGCCCCTCTGAGACTCGCGAGAGTGAGCTGCCGGATGAGGATGTGTTGTCAAAAATAAATAAATAAATAACATCCTCTGATCCAGCACCAAGTGCTCTGTTGGCTATAAAAACAACCAGCCCAAGAGAACAGGAGATGGCTGATGAGGGTGAAGAGGATTTACAACACGAACCCTCACAGCAACCCTGCCCCGCGTATGATGAGTTGTGAGTGTTATGTAACGCGCTTCAGCGAGGCTTCATGCAATGCATGGAAGAGCCCGTATTCAGTGCGCATTCATCACCATCAACGCACAAACTTCTAGCCCAGAGCCTGGTCACTGCTTATAAGGTTTTAGTATTGCCTTCCAGAATCTATCTGAGGATTTTTCTGTATGATTACTTAGCTCCCTAAGTCTGGTCGGAAGGTTGATGGACACTCACAAGGCCTCCCTGTTAGATCAGCCCTAGAGCTGGAGGTACTCCCCTTATTAGGTTCCCTTTTAAGAGGGCTTTGAAGCACTGTGTAGATCCAGGATTGAGTAGAGTTACTCCCCTCGCTTCCAAGGGTTAGAAAGCGATATGCTGAGTTCTACTCTTTAGGATGCTCGTCTCTAAGATCTCGTCTGTGAACGATTACTGCCACTATCTGCAGTCCTGCCTATCGGATGCCTACACAAGTGAGGCAAGTAATGTTAGAGACTCTGTTTAAAAAAGCACTGCCTGGGCTGATGCTTGTGACTTTCGAAGTTGTAGACCTTACAGTAGGCTTCCTCGATAGTCCGTAGCGTAAGACTGTGCTCCCCTTGCTTTAAAGGGTCAATAGCACCTTTGCTGAGTACACTGCCTGTTGGCAATGTAAACAATGTAAAGGTGCTCCCCTTATTAGGGTCCCTTCCAGAATGCCCAGCCTCCACAGGGCTTTGAAGAACTGTGTAGAACCAGGATCGAGTAGAGTTACTCCCCTTGCTTCCAAGAGTTAGAAAGCGCTATGCTGAGTTCTACTCCCCAGGATGCCCGTCTTTATGATCCGGTCTGTGAGCGATTACTGCCACTATCTGCAGTCCTGCCTATCGGATGCCTACACAAGTGAGGCAAATAACGTTAGAGACTCTGTTTAGGAAACAGAAGACTAGGTCAGTAAAATAGACCAGGTTAGCCTCCCTGGTGGCATGTGGGGTTGACTTTATGTCTCCATCAAAAAGTGACTGAACAGTACTGCTTTCGGACCCTCTGGCCATATACCCTTAAAGGAACCCCTTCCATGGAAGCTGTTGGTTCCAGGCCTTTGAGCGGCCTTGGTAGGCCTTCGTTGTATCGGGGGCCTCTTTGAGGCTTATGGGCAGTGGCTGTAGGGAATACTGTGACCCGAAGGGGGAGTGTTTTGGCATTTCAGTGAAACTGCCATTTTTTGACGTTTTTGTCACAGCCATAATTTGGCATGCACTCCCCTCAGCATGGTGGCGTTGGTATATCATTCCCCATAGTGCCAAATGGATGCAGTGCGAGCTCCCTTTCGAAAGGGAATGTCTAGGTTACGACTGTGTATGACACTGCATCTTTCGCCATGCCTTGAGGGTGCTTGCTGAACAGTCCCTTCAGACGATAAGTTGTTGACATGTTCTCCAGGCTCCAATTATATATACTTCCGGGTCGCACTACTAGTGATGTCATAGGCTGTTGCCGGCCAAAAGAATTGCCGTGATTAGATAAGCATTTCAGACACCGGTTCACATGGAGGCGTTCCCCATAGCGTCAAATCGACGCAGTGTCTCTTTCCCTGTTCTCAGGGAACAGAGGTTACAGTCGTAACCTACTCAGTTTCTGATGTCACAAACCACCTTGTAACCAATCAGGTCAACGTGTGATCGTCAACGAGTGAATCTCTGAGCTAATGTGAGTGCGTGGAGGCGGGGCACATTTGCATATTCATAAAACCGCTAATACTAAATGAGGCAAGGGTGTAGTTAAAGTCAGAATTGCAAGATATAAACTCGCAATTCTGACTTTAACGCAATTGCGAGTTTATATTTTTTATATCAGAATTGTGAGATGTAAACAAGTCGCACTTATCTTTTGAATTGTTTTATTCCGTGACAGAAACAAGCTTCCGTATTAATGTGCCTACAGGCACATTAATATGGAAGCTTGATATGTTAAGCCAAATGATATGTTGGCTTTAATTAACTTTATGTCAACAGGTTCCATAAATTAACTTTTTTATGTCAACAGGTTCCACATAACTGGGTTACGTTAAACAAACATAATTTGTTCATGTAACTTCAACACACTCAAAAAAATGATATGTTGGCTTTAATTAACTTTATGTCAACAGGTTCTGATATGTTGGCTTTAATTAACTTTATGTCAACAGGTTCTGATATGTTGGCTTTAATTAACTTTTTTATGTCAACAGGTTCCACATAACTGGGTTACGTTAAACAAACATAATTTGTTCATCTAACTTCAACATGATGGAATTAAGTCATTTTAAGCAACCCAATTAAACTCTAAGCAGAGTGTTAAATGAACACTGAAGCAGTGTTAAAGTTAATGAGATAGGCTAATTAAGTGAATAATTGAGTGATGATTGAGCATTATTGAAGACACCTGATGTTAACAAGCAAAATCACTGAAGGAGAAAACCGGAAATTTAAGTCACCATTATGGTGACCAGTGTTTGTTTTAGTTGGGCTCTTGACCCTCACATCATTAACTTTAGATTATGTTTGGTTGCTGTACATGAGTTATAACAGCCAGATGAACAAATAGAAAAGGTGATTTGATAGTGTTGGTTGTGTTTTAACATAATCATTATATCACAATCATTTGACCTCAATCACTGAACTCATATTAGACCTCAATCACTGAACTCCTATAGAACCCAATTTAAGTTTACCTTAGGGATTATAGCAGCACTGTTATTGTAGAGCATACCATTTTTAGCCTTTTCAATGAAATCCAAGTAATCAAATCAATAAAAATAATAAACTTCTAAAAAAATATTTTATGCAGGCACACACAGACATCAAGAATCAGCCTGTGAATCTCAACAATGGTGACAATTATAAAGCATGTTGCAGTGCATTCTGGGTGCCACAAATCAAAACTCATTCATGGCTCCCATCATGCATTGCTGCATGAATAAATAATGAGCTTATGTTCAGAGGTGATCTGTTTGTCACCATTGCTGAGATTCATACGCTAATTCTTGATGTCTGTGTGTGCCTGCATACAATTGTTTTTAGAAGTTTTTTTTTTATTTTACTGATTTGATCATTTGGATTTCATTGAACAGGGTAAAAATGGTATGCTCTACAATGATAGTGCTGCTTAAATCCATAAGGTAAACTTAACTATATGAGTTCGGGTCAAATGATTGTGAAATAATGATTATGTTAAAACACAACCAAACACGATCAAATCACCTTTTCTATTTGTTCAACTGGCTGTTATAACTCATGTACAGCAGCCAAACAAAATCTAAAGTTAATTATGTGAGGGTCAAGAGCCCAACTAAAACAAAGACTGATTTACCTCAGAAAAGCCATTCAATGATCATAGCATAGTAAGCTAGAAAAATTACTTTAGGGACGAGCATTTTATTTTGCTAAATATAGGCACTAGCTATATTACATATCCATTCTATTTTTACTCTTATATTGTTAGAAAAATGTTATTATAAAAACCACTTTGTATTAATTGTATGAAATCACTTAAAGGTATAGCGGAGGATTTTCTTTTTCCGGGTGGGTAGCCTATACTATTGGTCCACCTAAGTGTCAATCATTCTGGTGATATGTTTACTTAAGGCCGTCGTACGTGCTCGTCCCTATGTAGTTTTCGCTTTCTGCGCATGCGCACTTTCAGGTGTATTATGTGTGATGAGTTACGGTTTCAGCCATTCCTTTGAAAATGGCTGAGGGTCGAAAGAGAAAAAATGTATACGAAGTGTATGATAAGAAGAGAAAGGCCGCAGAATATAGAAACAGGACCAGAGTGATTTTGGGTGAATATTTCACACGCTGGCGTGCGCTAAAAGTACAGGTTGGGCTTCCCACTGATGCCGCAGTCGCGAAGATTCTACTAGACAGGTAAAGTTTGTCATGCTATTTGGAGAAATCCATTTAAAATCACTGCTAGTAAAAGTTTAATAGGCGTTCCCTCTCGGGAGCAAATAGAGTGTTGCGCATGTGCATTTTTAAAAAAATTGGAGAGGGCGGGTCTTCTCTAAAATTCGGAAAGATCCTCCGCTATACCTTTAATATACTATTTTTATATTATAGTAATATTATAAAATGTATATTATTTAAAAGTAATTTAAATTATATTAAAATAATTCTCACTCCAAGCTTGAAGCTTGGACTGTAACAGCCTATGTTTTATATATACATATTAGGGGTCTAACGATACACGTATTCGTATTGAACCGTTCGGTACGAGGCTTTCGGTTCGGTTTTCGGTACGCATTTTTGAACCGAACGGTTTGTTGGACCATTTTTCCTGCTGACCAAAATTTCGTTATTTCAAATGTAGGTGCGTCACGCGTGGCAAGCGTGCTTATAATGTAAGAGACGCTGGCGTGACCACAACATTGCCCAACATCAAAATGGCAAATGTAATGTAAGTGGAACGAAACCACTCGTTATTGTGTGGTTGACGGACCATTTATCAGTTTGGACCAAAGCAGCGCGAGTCGATCTTCATCATCAGCACTGTTACTACACAGCCAAATCCAGTAAAGAAAGCATTTGAATTCGCCACTGAAGTAATAACATCGCTGCGAGATCTAGCGAGAAACATTCACATTTCTCCGTTATTAACGGATCAAACAGCGCTGAAATCAGGAAGAAACATTGTGCCATGAATGAACTATCCAGTGCCCACAGATCAGCAACATTCACCATGGGTTTACTGTAGTAACACTACTAACTGTAGTAACACTACTAACTGTAACCATGGAAGTTTGGCAGGAATAGTAGGCTATAATTCTTTCAAGTAACATCCCTTCAGTTTTATTTTGACATAATGAATATACAATTGCTGCCCTCAAATGTTAATCTGAACTAAAATAAACCTTTGTTTATAACTACTACAATATTACATTTCATTTTGTCCAAGGAGCTGTTTTGTTACTAAGAAAAGTCAAGTATAGCTCCATCATTGCTCAAAGTAAAAAAAAATCATACTTTATGATGTTAGTTTTAATAAAAATATAATTAAAAAAATTAAATCAAGGAAATTTCTATGGCATTTCTTTCTTTTTGCTGTATCGGAAACGTACCGAATTGTACCGAACCGAACCGTGACAAGTGTACCGTATGAACCGAACCGTGAATTTTGTGAACCATTACACCCCTAATATATATATATATATATATATATTCTGTACGTTTCCGATACAGCAAAAAGAAAGAAATGCCAGAGAAATTTCCTTGATTAAATTTTTTTAATTATATTTTTATTAAAACTAACATCATAAAGTATGATTTTTTTTTACTTTGAGCAATGATGGAGCTATACTTGACTTTTCTTAGTAACAAAACCGCTCCTTGGACAAAATGAAATATATATATATATATATATATATATATATATATATATATATATATATATATATATATATATATATATATATAGTGTGTGTGTGTGTGTGTGTTTGGTTAGTTTTAAAAAAAAAACGATGATTCTGAGAAAATAACAAGTAAATGTTCGCTTACCTTCGTTTTTCACCGTCACTCGAGCATCATAATGCAGTTTTGTTGAGCAAACACATGAAATCAATATCAACAGCACACAGAAACCCGTCCAGTCCATCTTAGCAAGCGAGTTTTGACAGACTGAGTGAGTTTTAAAGTGCGTCTGTCAAACTTCCTTAGAGGCGCGGTTTCATGTTATCTCAGCCATGTGTGTGTGTGCAGTGCACTTGATAGTGGGATATGCTGTAGTTCTCCATCTGAATGCCAATATAACTGTAATTAAACACTCAGTTGTACAATAAATACAATACAATGCTGCCTTACACACGTTACAGATGTTCTCATTTAATTCGAAATGTGTGACTGACGAGTAAGTTAAGCGTCCGCCACATGGCAGTTAACGGTCGACTGGAATACTGAATTAAAATAAATAAGAATTAGAATAAATTGAATTTAAGTAATCTAAGTGCGCGAAATGACATCATCATCATAATTTGTCAGAGAAGACGCGTTATGTACGATGATTTAATGGTTTAAGCGATATATAAGTGAACATCACATGTCAGAAATGACAAGAACTTAAATAAACAAACCGTGTCTGCTCCTCGCCTATAGTGTCCATGTTTTGACTATTTTCTTTCTATCATACACCGAAAAGCTAGTCTCTGTACTAATAACAGTCTGTAACGTCTAACTACCCCTGCCTGATGCTGCACTGCGCATGCACGCCAAAACAAAAGTCCTCTTTGTAAAAAACACAAATCTTGTAGGTTAATTTGTCAGAGTAGAAAATAACAAGATGCTTTTACACAAGTATTGGGAGAGCAACTTGGCTGTTTGTAACCAAACGTTTTTAATGACAGATTAAAATGTTTAACAAGGGGTAAATAATTTAATCCAAAATGTGCGATGCTGTGGGCTTTTGAAAATCACATGATGCTGCAAATTCTGTGAGAAAAAAAATCCTTTGTTTTGCTGTCTGGATGTAAAGATAAACTATTGATACTTGAGCTGTATAAAATGTCCGTCTGTAGTAGCCTACTAGCAGCAGTAATGGTTTTAAATAATGCAAATGATATATTTGGCATGTCCTCAGTTTTTAAACTAAAGTCGTAAGCTAAACACAAACTTAAGAAATAAAAAGGGAAAAATATGAATTGGTGACTAATAAAAAATAAATTCCTGAAGAAACATATTAGCTTATCTTATAGAATACATTGATAAAGTGCACGATGTTCTTTTTAGACATTATTTGCATCTATAACTGTTAATATGTCTTCTATGAAATGTCTTGGTATTGTTGGATAAAATCTATTTTTTATTTACTCAGAAAAACATCACATTATGGAAGCAAACATTGGATTGCAAATGCAGCTTTTTAATGTCTTTTTTATGGCAATAGATTTGGCCTGATGAAGAGTTTGGTAGAAACGTTGCTCTATAGTTTTGTGAGTGGATGAATACATTTTTTTTATTTATTCTTTTGACCGAACACCTATGGCAAGCCGTTTTAACATTTAATCCTTAAAACATACTAGTATCTATTCTCATGCTACTACAATTGATATTTTAGATAGTATATATTCCATTAGATACTAGTGATACATAGGCCTATGTATGTGAAATTCTTTTGGATTGATGTGGAATATCTATTTAATATGTTAAGTGGAATTAAAGTTCACATAGAGAAAAGTGATGTTTTTTTTATTACGACAAAAAAGATCTAGACAGAGTCACGTTTTTATGTTAAATCTTATCTTTTTACTTGGTAAGTTTTACATAGAAAATGTAAATGGTCTGAAAGCATACCCAACATCAACCATTTTAAGGCTGACTTGAAGATTTACTTTGAAACACTGCAAGGACTTTCAAACCGCAAAGCAACCAGAACTATGGACGTCACATCTACAAAGAATTAAATTCCTCTTCTTTATTTTAATTATACACGTATACCTCCTTTCCGTTATGTTATTTATTTTATGTTTTATTTTCTTTCTTTTTTTCTTAATGTGTGAATCAAATGTTCTTTAAAATCTTTGTTATTTTTAATGTTCCTCACATCTTATGATGCTTTGGAATCATTTATAATATTATATGTGAAACATTTGTATTATTTCATGTATAATTCTGGAAATTAAAAAAAAATATCAAAAAAGACGAGCATCATGGTTAGAAGTATATAAATGTGTATTTTGTTATAAATGTCGGCTGGTTTGTCTAGATCAGACTCTTATTCCTCGGCTGGATCGTGTCGAGACTTTGAAGCTGCACTGAAACTCACATCTGGACCTCGGACCTTCGACCCGTTGGACCCCATTGAAGTCACTATATGGAGAAACCCTGGAGTGTGTTCCTCAAAAACCTTCATTTCTTTTCCACTGAAGAAAGAAAGACGTGAACATCTTGGGTGACGTGCGGGAGAGTAAACTCAAGACATTTTAATTCTGAACTCCTCCTTTAAACTGGCTATTCTCAGGCTGATGAAACTCAGGGCGTCTGCACTGAACCGGCCAAATGAAGTCATCCGTCAGCTGCAGAATTACTTTAACGAATTTGCAATTTTACGCCAGAGAGAGAGTGAGACTGACTCATGCTCGATCTCTCCGAGCATTGGGTCATTCTGGTGTCATAATCCGCTTATACAAGTACACAAAAATAAGGTTATTTGCTTGGTCAGACTGGCAAAAATTAAAAAAAAAAT